TTTTTTTTAGAAATGAACTATGGGTTTCTTTACTGGAAAAAGCATACATGAAAGTGATGGGAGGATATGATTTTCCAGGTTCCAATTCGGTATGCTTTACCTTTATCATTCTTTGGGTAACACGCTGCAGAATAAATTGGTTTCATTGAAAAAGGAAAGATTTATAGGGAATTTGTTATTAGATTTGCTGTAATTCGGGAGATAGACAGAGAAGAAATGCCTGAAACAGCCGTTTACATTACTACTATTTTAGAGCATAGATATGAATGCACTAACAGGATGGATTCCCGAAAGAATACCTATAAAGAAAGACTCGAGTCTGCTAGAAGCCAGAAAAATTTTCGAGAAGTTAATAACTAGGTAAATTTTAAATTTTTATGTTTCTGCACAGTATTTCGTCAGTTACAAATTTAAAGGTGTTTTGTAGGTTTCAACAGGGTCACTGTTTAATAAGTCTTGCTACTGGTAAAATGGATGTGCTTGATGCACAGAGAGCAGGTTTAGTAGACTGTCACGCGTATGCTGTTCTGGATCTTCGTGAAGTTTTAGTGAGTCGATTAGACTGTTTAGCTGCCATTTCTAGATGTTGCCAATGACAACACGACTAATCACGGGAAATCGTTGGTTTTTGCTGGGATTGTATGCCAGTATTTTTTTAGGGTAAAAGACTTCTATTACTAAAGAATCCTTGGACGCACTTAAGGTGGAAAGGAAATTATTCAGAAAAAGATACTATTAACTGGACGCCTGAGCTCTGTAAAGCCCTCAATTACTCTCCCTCAGATGCCCAGCAGTTTGATGACGGTAACCTCGAGTAAAATTTGTTTTGCAGCTATTTTTTTTCTTTTTTTGCTTATATCCTGGTGTTTTCTATCCTTATGAGAAGATTGGTTATATGAGGGGCTTTATATAGGGCCAAAATCTTAAAATCTCAAGGAAAGAAAGGAGGAAAAAATCGTCAAGGAAAAAAAAAAGCATAAACAAGTGATTCAAAAAATCAAACTTGTTTAACAGCTCCACTATCTATACTTTCGATTACAGTTGGCGACTGC